TCATGAAGCGATAGTGAAGAAGAGATGGATAGCCTGAGGGTTGCATTGGTATTCACAAAATATTAAAATTACCATGAATCTGTCTCTAGCACCATGGGCAGATTCTTTGTGGAAAGAAATAGATAATAATCACATAGAATGAGGTATGGAGGGGGTGTGAGCTACACTGATGGAAGGAATGCCCATCCCGCAGTGATTATGGATCCACTGAAGTATTCATTTAATAATATGGTGCTAGCAAAAATTAGAAAACTTTTTAGTCTGCAGATCCAATGGCTAATTATAGAAAAGCTATACAAAGCAAGGATTTTATTGAGCACAGTGCAACTGGGAAATCTGAACTTGGTGAGAAGCTGTATTGTGAAATTCTAATCCTTTCAACTGGCATTTGTTAAAAGCTCATTATGTAACAGTTACTGTGCTAGAATAAGATACAAAAAACAGAAGTAAGTCCCTGCCCTCAAGGAAATTACATTCTATTGAGAGGAAACCACATGGACAGAGAAAATAAAATACAAAATAGCTGGAGCAATTTTCATGGAGATGGCGCTAGGAACATACTGTAGGATTACAAAGGGAATCAATTATATTTAAATACAATTATCAAAGCATTTTTTAAAAAGTTCAGGAATCCCAGGTTAAGAACCTTTGTTTTAGATATACCTCTTTTTGATAATGTTGAATAGGTAATTTAAAGTTATCCAGATCTGGGAATTTCTGTGATGGGGTAGAAAAGCTTTTTCCTGAGAAGAGTGAAGCAGGCACTGTTTTGGGGTTTTGGGGGGTTTAATTAATTTATTTTTAGTTTTCATCATTCACTTCCATAAGCTTTTTTTTCTGTTTTTAAAAATTAATTAATTTTTAGTTTTCAACAATCACTTCCATAAGCTTTTGAGTTTTAAATTTTCTCCCTCTTCTTCCCTGCCTCCCTCCCCAAGACAGCATGCATTCTGATATAGGCTCTACATGTATAGTCCTACTAAACGTATTTTCACATTAGTCATGTTGTAAAGAAGAATTAGAACCAATAGGAGGAACCACAAGAAAGAAGAAACAAAACAAAAAGAAGAGGGAAAAAAAGAGCAAATAGTGTGAAGCAGGCACTGTTAAGAAGGTAGTAAGTATCCATGGGAAAGGTTTGTTCTTTTTCAAATGTGTGTAACAGACAATGAATATTAAAATTACAATATCAAGTAGCTTTTATTTTTTTTTCTTGACCAGAATTGCCAATGGGTAACTTACCAATTTCTGCTTCAAAAAAGCCTAGTTTCTCCATACAAGTTGTACAATACATTATTTCCTCCTCTGCTGCCAAGGACAGATATAAAGATCTTAATCAGGATGTTTTGTGGAGGAATTGTCAGAAATAATTCTCTGCTGGGAAAGCCTAGACCCAAACTTTTTTTTTTCCAGAGCTAAAATATGTGTTATAGGGGACTTGCTTTTGATTCTACATTGCAAGGAACTTTTTAAGGTCTTCAATCCTGGCAGCAGTTTCTCTGTTGATTGAGAACATTAACAACATATATTGTTTTCATAAAAAATACAAGTTGAAGGGCAGAGGCAGGAGAAGGTGTGTAAAAGGTGAATGTTTTATTCTAAAGTCTCAACTGAGCTGCCCTTGAAAACTAATAATTATTCAGCCAAGGTTACTCCATGAAGCATTTAATTGGCGTATTATTTGTGACCCCAATTGAGAATGGGCTAGAATTGAAAAAAAAATCATTTGATTCAACTGAAAAAATGCTTACAAGGTCAGAATAAGTAACCTTTAACTGGGAAGATTAATTTGTAGGCATGTTGCTTGTATAATACCTGACTTTGGAAAAAAAGAAATCAGTATCTTGACTAATGCTAATTCTTTCTATGGGAACTGTGACTAAGGGGAAAGTAGTTTTTCTTTGCTTCACTTAACCAAATTGCATGCCTCCTTCCCCAGTAATCTCTTTTTTTGCCATTTAAGAATTGATTGAAGAAAATGTTTTTTTGTTTGTTTGTTTTTTGTTTTGATTTGTTTTGTTTTTGCCTTTTGGTGAGGCAGTCAGTGTTAAGTGATTTTCCCTGGGTCACACAGAAGAAATGGGGATATTGAGGTTAGAGAAGAGAAGACTGTGAGAGGCTGGGATAGAGTGAACAATGATAACTGTCTTCAGCTATTTGAAGGTCTGTCATGTGAAAAAGGAAATAGATTTGTTCTGTTTTTCCCCATAGGGTAGATCTAGAAACAGTGAGGAGAAGTTGCAAGGAAGCCAATTTAAGTTTGGAAACTTTTCAATGGTTAGAGCTGCCCAGTAATGGAATGGTCTGCCTGTGGGAAGTAGTGAGTTTCTTCAAGTATACATAGACTGGATGGCCCATAGTTGGGTATATTCCTAGGATCACAGGAATATAAATCAAGAGAAGTGAGGGAGCTCACAGGCCATCTATTCTAACCCCCACCCTCCCCATTTCACAGATGAGGAAACAGAGGCCCAGGGAGATGGAAGTAAATGTTAAATCCAAGTCCTCTGATTTCAGTGTCAGTACTCTTCCTACTATATCATGATTTTTTTTTAAGTATGGGTTTGATTAGCTGGTCAATGAGGTCCCTCTGTACTCTGAAATTTTGAGATTCTTTGGTTCATAAAGACCCCTCTTTTAGCTCTAATTAAAATATTAAGCCTAAAGCTTCTCAACCTTTTGTTTGGGTATGTGTTGAATTCCTTTAGCAATCTGGTGAAACCTGTGGACCCCTTATCAGAATTATGTTTATAAATGCATAAAATAAATACATAGGATTACAAAGGAAGCCAATTCTGTTGAAATACAGTTACCAAATTATTTTTAAAAGTTCACAGACCCCCAAGTTAAGAGGTTGTGTTATACACAGAAAACTGTTGTTTCAATCAGTAAAATGTGCCCAAACAGGCAGGGGTGGGGTGGGGTTTTCCCACATGACAAGAATAATATGAAATAAGTTTAAGTAGACTTAGTTGTAATCAGACCTGTAACTAACAGTTCTGGCACCTGAATCAAACACCATGAAATGTGCCCAGTGCAGTGAGCATAAAAGATGCCTTCTAGTCAACTCTTAAAAACCAGGGGAGAAGGGGCTTGCTGGGAGGAGGAGGAAATCTTAGATATTAGGTATCCTCCTGATAGAGGACCTGGGAGACTACAAGGGGTGATCCTTGCTGGGGATTCTGCTGCTGGGGAAAAGAGCAGGACAGATCAAGGGAGAAGCTCATCTTGAGGTCTTACCACAGTAGAGAAGTACTCTCTCCATATCAGGTCTAGAGCTGTATCACTCCCATACTTAATGTACTCCAATGGCTCCATCTCACTTCTAGATCAAATACAAACTACTTGTCTGTTTGGTGATTAAAGGCTTTTACATCCTCGCTTCATCCTTCTTTGCTAGCTTTGTTATATTCCCCTTCACATGGACATACATTGTAGATGGACAGTAAACTGGACCTATAAATAAAAAATAAATAAATAAATAAATAAACACATATACACACACACACACACACACACACACACATATAATTGAAGAGGAAAGACAGTAGGATGGATCACTTTTAGAAAATTATGTAATGCTTTCAACAATCAAGCAGCTCCATCATACAAAAACACAATTTTAACATCATTATTTTTGTATTGATGCTATTAGACTATGAATCATAGAGCATTACAAATTGCAGAGAATAAAAATTGCAAGTGATTCCAAAGAGCAGTGGAGAAAGACAGACAGAGAGAGAGAGATGGGCACAGTAGGGTATCATATTTCTACAGTGGCTTGAGCCCCAAAAGTTTGTTAAAGATGTCAAAGAGATGTGTGATTGGACAAGGGAAGTTTTCTTGGAAAAGGTGTATGATTGGAAAAAAGTTGGTAGATGAAAGGAGGAATACCAGATGGACAGCCCAAGTGTTGTAGCAGAATCTGTATAATATCTAAATACAAAGGAGAACAACTCTACCACATTGGATGGACCAGTTATGGAGGATCAATGGGAAGTTATGGATTAAAATCCAAAAGGATTAGAAGGCATTGTGATGATCTATACTATTGAACTGAGTACCTGTAGCTCTTCATTTGAAGTATTGGGATCGTGTCTGTCAAGTACAACCCAATGTACACTTTTCTAATTGTAAGTATTTTATTGCATTTGGTGTCAATTACACTTAAGATGGAGGAGTGACTGGATAATTCAACTTAAAAAATATTGACAAAGTGCCCACTATACAGCAAGGTCCTGTGCTGGGTCCCAGTAATATCAAGACAAAAATGAAATAGTGTTTGCCTTCAAGGAACTAAGATTCTAGGGGGTGGGGAAGATTCAACATGTACACAGAGAAGTCAATACAAAGTAATATAAGTAATGTCAAGAAGCTATGACAAAGATAATTACAAACACTGTGACCTTAATGAAATGCCAGTCTAGCACCATGGTATCAAATGGGATATGGATAGAATGGTTTTGATTTTAACAAAAATTTAGAGGAAATCATCATCTAGTAGGGAGTGAGCAGATAAAGGGACTTAAAAATAAAATGAGTTTAACTAAAATGAGGTGAACAGAATCCTCACTAGTAAATGAGATTGTATCACACATCCAAGCATGCTGAGAATTTTTAGCAACAAATTGAGGCAAACTAACAGCAGTGATAACAGCAAAATAATGTCTCATTTTTCCTTTCTACTGTGCCCAAGATCTTCTGCCTGCAATAAATTGGAAGTTTATCTTTCTTAGACTAATTCAATTCCAGCCCCAGTGAAGGGAAGAATTAATAAGTGCTTGGTGAGTTTGAGCTGAGCAAGCAACCAATGTGAATGCTTCAAGAAGAAAAAAAATCCAATCACTAACTTTTTCTGCAATTTCAAGGAGCTGTTTCTGTTTTTAGTTGGAATCATCTGAATAGACCTCACTCTTGGCTACAATAAATTAATTAATTAAATGAAATCTAGCAATTGCTAAGATGGATACCTTTCCTTTTCATTTCAATTTCCATTACAGGTGTTACCACATCTGCAAACTTCCTGGGAGGGTGATGGGAATCCGATTACTCCGGTTCTCTTCCGTCATCATCCTTGTGTTACTATTGGTGGCAGGTGCTTTGACTACCTTGCTTCCTAACATAAAAGATGATAAAATGCCCACTTCCCGCAGAGAAGCAAAACCCCAGAGCCAGTCGGCCCTGGATTCCTTTACTCTTGTCATGCAGACATACAACAGAACAGATCTGTTGCTGAGGCTGTTAAATCATTACCAGGCGGTGCCTCATCTACACAAAGTGATTGTCGTCTGGAACAACATTGGGGAGAAGGTGCCAGAGGACTTGTGGAATGCCCTTGGGCCTCATCCTGTCCCTGTGATTTTCAAAATACAAACTGTGAACAGAATGAGAAATAGACTCCAGACCTTCCCAGAACTGGAAACCAAAGGTAAGGAGCATCTGTATTCTCAGTGGGATCCAGGCTGCTAACAGAGCAAGCTTGGGTTTTCAGCCTTCTCACCTGTCTGAGGTGTCTTTAAGGGTGGTGAATTGACTCATCAGGGAGTGTTTTTGTAAAGAATAAGGACTCATTTCCCTGATGCCTTCAAAATTCAGGGTTAGGAAAAGAACCACATAATACTATCATAGAGACTGATATTATGGGGGAGGGATACAATTTATTCTATAAGTATATTATTACGTATCAACAAATACTTAAATCGTATTTTGCTCTGTTGATAACATTTTTTGCCACTACTGTCAATCTGGCCAGATAAACAAACTTTTTGTTTTAGAGACATTTTTGCAAGACAAAAGTTCTATTAAAATTATTTAAATTATTTGTCATTTCCTTAGCTTACTAAATGATCATTTTTGTTCTTGGGCCATTACAAAAATCAATCATAGCTCAATTAGCAACATTTTTCCCCTACGGGCAACTCTCCTGAGGAATATCGGTGCTTAATTGGGCCCTGCCACTATTGCCAATTTTTTCAGTTAGATGCTTGATATAGAGGAGAGCTTCATGAGTAAATTCTCTTGCCTTTTCCTTTTCCCTAATTTTTGAGGTTCATTTCCAATCTGTTGGATTCAAAGTTTCATGTCTTTTCTTTTCAGCTGTTTTAATGGTGGATGATGACATGCTAATTAGCGCTCATGACCTCGTTTTTGCATTCTCAGTTTGGCAGGTAATGTTGGTTCTTGCTTCATAAAGGTATCTTATAAAGTCTCATCTAATAAAAAGTAGACTATGGTTGTATTGCTCAAAGCATGGAAAAAGTTGTTTGATAAATAGAATCATTTGTCTGAAGTCAAATGAGATTGAACAGTAGTAGGATCAAACTGGATCTCAGACCTATTTTGATATGGAACGATATTATTGTGTGCTAAGGAGGAAGAGCTGAAAAATGCTTGAGAGGATTGTGAGGAAGTGGTAGAGTCTAGTGATTTGAAGTCATAGTATCGTAGATTTAAAGTCAGAAAACTCCTTCAAGGCCATCCAGCTCAAACCTCTCATTTTACAGGTGAGGACAATGATGTTCAGAGAGGATAAGTGACTTGGCTAAGGTCAAATAGGTAGAAAGAAGATTTGGACCCAAGTCTTCTGACCCCAAATCCAGCACTCTGGTTACATGCTGTAACTAGCTGCCTTCTGGGAATAGGGTTGGAAGGAAAGGAGAAGGAAAACAGGTGAATGGAGGGCAGTAAAAGCTACTTCCCCCCCCACCCCAGACTTTTTTCTTTCCCTTTAGCAAGAAGGAAAAATCAAAGACAGAAGGGGATTATTTTTTCTTTAATTTTTGACTTCTTTCACACTTGCTTTCCTCATATATAAAAAATAGTAATAATTGGATTGTCTCAATTGGTTAATCAATCAAAAAGGATTATTATCATGAGGAAACTATTTTGTAAACTTTTAAAATTTTATAGAAATAGAAATGATTTTACAAATCATTTCTCTGCTCTTCCTTTTTCTGTACATTTTGGGCAGATCCCATTGCAATAAACTCAGAGAGACTAGCCAGAGCTTTTAGCCATCATGGAATTTTGTTGTATCCCATGGAATTTTGTTGTTCATATACAGTGGTTTGGTAACAGTGCTGTTTGTTGTAATGAGATTTGAACTCTGTCATAAAGCAAAGAGAATCTGCTGGCATTAAACCAATCAGCCTACAACATTTTTAGCCCAATAAGTAAAACAAATTTATCAGACCAAGGGCCTACTCTTCCAGTAAGTTAGCTTCTTATTGAGGAGGAAGCAAAACTTATATTTATGAAGTGAGAGAATGAGACAGTATATTTAAGGGGTCAATAACCGCACCAACACACCTATTTATAGATGAGGAAATTAAGACCTACTATGTGCTGAGCAGCCAGATGGTACAATGGATAGAGCACTGGCTCTGAAGTTAGGAGGACCTGAATTCAAATCTGGTCTCAGATGCTTACTAGCTGTGTAATCCCGGACAAGTCACTTAACCCCAATTGCTTCCCCAACCCCACCCTCCCAAAAAAAGGTATGTTAGAGTTCAGGGAATAAAGGTTAGGGGATGTTTCTGTTTAAATCTGTGTCATCATACACACTATCAGGTATATAACATAGAATCAGAGCCAACTGGATGACACAGTGGATAAGCTCTGAGCCTGGAGTCTCAAAGACATTAGTTAAAATCTAATCTCAAACACTAGTTTGTTTACTTCCTTGCTGTCTACTGGTGACTGCTTGATGAGGGTAGATATTGGAGGACTGTGAAGAACTTTCCCTAGAGGTATTAGTTGTCACCACTGCCAGAGAGCTTAAGCTGAATTTCAACGGAGATCTCATAGAATCCCCTTTCCTAAGTGTGAACCCCAACAAAAATCTTTTGCTATATCTTTCACTTTTCTTTTTCCCTTTTGAACAAATATTAGTCAAATACTTACTGTGATGAAATCCTGCGAGAATAAGTGATATGGGCCCTGGCCCCATGCAGCTTCTGCACCAGGGAAGAAGGGATTGGCAAGTCTGCTGTGCACACCAGGCAATGTGGCTTAGTGGATAAATAGTATGCTAGACTTGAAATCAGGAAGACTTGCTTCAAGGCCCACTTGTAGTATTTATTTACCCTCTGTGTGACTCCAGGTCAGTCACCTAAGTTTCTGAACCTAATTTTACTCATGTATAAAATGGGCTAATCATAGATCCATAAGTACCTCCCTCACAAAGTTGCTATGACACTCAAATGAGATAATATTGCAAACTTGAAAGCATTATGTAGGTCTCAGCTGTTAATATGATAATTTTTATATTCCGTAATAGTGTCAGCTTCTTTTTTCTTAATTCCCAGTTATAACAGTTTGGATGGTGTGTGTGTGTATGTGTATACATACATACATACATGTGTATATATGTGTGCATGTAAATGTATACATTACACACATAAATATGTTATATAATAGGATGGTTGTCCTATAAAATCTCTCACTGAATATGCATTCACAATAGCTGACTTCTACTTAACTCTTTCTAGTATTCACACATTCATCTGAAATCAAAACTGACCCTGAACCCACAGCCCCTCAAGCAGCACAGGACTTTTAAACACTGGGATTCCTAATAAAGAAACATAACAGCTTTGACTGTAGTAAGTCTTCTCATTTTGCTGCTTAAGACATTTTCTGCTCATCAAATATTTATTCATGATAGGTGGCTGCAGTTCTCTGCAATGATCAGCATTTTTTCACAGCTTCAATTTTTACATCACATCTAATGAAAGGGGCCAGAGAAGGTCAGTCTAAAAGCTTCCCTCTGATCAACAGCTGGGTCTTGGTGCCACATCAGCAGTATTTCAGGGCTTGTTTTTACAAAGCACACAAAAGCAAAAGGTCCAAGAAGAGATTGCTGTTTGAAACAAAGGGCACCGTTCTGGTGAGCCCACAGCGCCAGAAAGCACGAGAGAGTACAAGCGCTGCAGTTCTCAATAGCATGCAGACTCGAAGGCATGTCAGGCAATCAAACAGTATCTTAATCTTTATTTATAAATTTACTGAGGCCAGGTTCTAGTTCATTGGTATAGGAATTTCAGATTGGCCCCAAATCCCCAGGAAAAAATGCTGCCATCCTTATCCTCCCCTTTCAACTTTTTTCTTTCCCTTTCCACTGGAATTGTAGAATCTAGTCTTTAGTGGATTGCTGTAGTCCTTGAACCCAGCATTTTTTTTTCTTTTCTGACCTTCATACAACCTCCTCTCTTCATTGCTTCACATTTTATTTTTATAGTAGTAAATAGATATATCACAGCAAGGTTTAAAAGTACTTTCCCATGACAAACCTATGAAATAGTGAATGCAATTATTGTTATCCCCCTTTTCCAAGTGAGAAAACTGAGGCTCAAGGAAGTTATGTGACTTACCCATAGTCTCTCAGTAAGTGTCATCATTAAGATTCTAATTCTAAGCTTCTCCTTGTGGCAAGTCCTGGAGTCTTTCCACTGTAACCACACGACTTCTTAATGTCAACTGTCATATTTTTCTTAGTGTTCTAGAATGCTTTACCAACCTCTCTACTTCCCCTAAAGGTTTTTATATTTCCCCACGTTCAAAAAAGAGAAGCACACGAACCAAGAGAAGTCCAAAAGGAAACATTTAAAGTCATTTCTTCCTTCTTTCCTTCATTCAGTAAACATTTAAGTGCCTGTTATGTGCCAGGCAGTGTGCTAAGCACTGGGGGTTCAAAAGGAGGCAAAAGACTGTCCTTGCAATCTAATGGGGGAGACAATGTGCAAAAAATATATACAAAGTAAGCTAATATACACGATAAACAGGAATTAAGAGAGGGAAAGCACTGAAATTAAGAGGGATTAGGAAAGGCTTCCTGTAAAAGTTAGGATTTTAGTTGGGCCTTAAAGGGATCTGGAATGGTCAGTAGTCAGAGAGGAGGGAAAGCACTCCAGGAATGGAGGACAGCCAGAGAAGATGCCCAGAGCCAAGAGATGAGTCTTCTTCATGGAGCAGCCAAGAGGTCAGTGTCACTGGATCAAACAGTATATGTAGGGGAGCAAGGTGTAAGAAGACTGGAATGGTAGAAAGGGGCTAGGTTATGAAGGGTTTCGAATGCCAAGCAGAACGTTTTTCATTCAGTCCTGGAGACAATAGGGAGCCACTAGAGTTTATTGAGAAGGGGGGTTGACATGATCAGACCTGAATTTTAGGAAAATCACTTTAGTGGCTGAAAGGAGGATGGATTGGAGTGGAGAGAGACTTGAGGCAGGCAGAGCCTTGCTATTGCAGTAGTCTAGGCTGTGGGAGATGAGAGGCTGCATTAGAGTGGTCTCAATGTCAGAGGAGAGAAGGAGGCATGTTCGAGAGATGTTGCGAAAGCGAAGTCAAGGCCTTGACCTTCACAACCTGGTTCTCATCTACATGTCCACCTCTTCTCTTCACATACATGGCACTCCCTTTCCTGTCTCCACCCCTTGCACTAGATGTCCCTCATGCCTGAAATACACTCCCTGCTCACCTCTTAGAATACCCGGTATCTTCAAGTCTCAGTTCAAATGCTGCCTTCTACATGAGGCCTTTGTTGACTATCCCCCACCCCAGTTGTTAGTGCCATACCCACAAAATAACCTTGTATGTATTTAGTGCCCATTTCATATAAACCTCTATACGTACAAGCATTACCTCTGATAGAATATAAACGCCCTGAGGGCAGGAATGATTTCATTTTTGTCTTTGTATCCCCCTGTGCCTAGCATGGTTTCTGGCACACAGCAGACCCTTAATAAATGCTTTTTGACTGATTGATTTCTAAAAGTCAAGAATATGGAGACCAAAACTGAGAGTTATAAAACCAGGCCAAATTTTGATAATTTTATATTTCTTTCTTATAATCTCAAAGCATTTTTGGTTTGTTTGTTTTGGCTGGGCAAAGGGATTAAGTGACTTGCCCAGGGTCACATAGATAGTAAAGTGTTCAGTGTCCAAGGTCACATTTGAACTCAGGTCCCCCTTACCTCCAGGGCCAGTGCTCTATGCACTGCGCCACCTAGCTGCCCCAATCTCAAAGCATTTTTAAAGTTACCTCATCAAGCTTCATCATTTCCTCCTACTATGTATTATATCTATCATATCCATCCATCAAATCCTAAGTGGATGTCAAGTGTCTATAGCCACATTTTATAGATACAGAGTCAGTTTCTTTTTTAGTAAACTCCCAGGGAATGTCTACAGTCTTGTGTTGAACCCGGATTTTGTGATATCACATGGATAATGCTTGCATTAAGTGGGCCATCTGCATCTTATACAAGAGATTTGTGTTGCAGTAGAATGTGACCTGCAGAGTGATCCTAGCAGGCAGAAATAAAGCTACTTGTGCAGAGTTAGACAGGAAGTGAGAATGAACAATGTCAGGAATAGAATAAAGGTGACGTGCCAGCTTAATTCCCTCTGGCAAATCACACTGACTTCAGTGTCTCTGTTCTGAATTGCTCCTGTGGTAACTGTGTTACTTTTCCCCTCCTCGTTGCAGCAATTTCCTGATCAGATTGTAGGATTTGTCCCTAGAAAGCACGTCCCCACTGCTTCAGGTATTTATAGTTATGGTGGGTTTGAGCTGCAAATACCAGGATTTGGAAATGGGGACCAGTATTCCATGGTACTGATTGGAGCATCATTCTTCAACCGCAAATACCTCGAGCAGTTCCAGAAACAACCAGCGACTGTCCACGCTCTAATAGATGAGACCCAAAACTGTGATGACATCGCCATGAATTTTATGGTCGCCAAGCACATCGGGAAGACTTCAGGGGTGTTTGTCAAGCCTGTGGAAATGGGCAATTTAGAAAAAGAGACCAGCAGTGGTTATTCCGGAATGTGGCACCGAGCAGATCACTTCCTGCAAAGGTCTTATTGTATAAATAAGCTTGTGAAGATCTATGACAGCATGCCCTTAAAATATTCCAACATTATGATTTCCCAGTTTGGTTTTCCATACTATGCCAACCACAAAAGTAAAATGTAAAATAAGTGAATAAATAATAATCCTCGAACTGCTTGGGTATTTGGGTAGCTTCTCAGTGTTAAGTTTTTATAGCAACATTATAGACTGTTACCCCCTCTGAAGTCCAAGGTGGTCACTACTCGGGTATGGGATGTGTAGTGCCACTAGGTTGGGAAATCCTTCCCTGCTTCAGAAATAGAGATGTTGCTGGTGTTGTTGCCAGAGTAGGCCTCTTGTTAAGGGATTTTTATCCAGGTGCATAACTTCCTTGGTTTGTGACATAACTGTTTACATTTTGAGACTGTTTTCCTTCTTTTCTGACTCCTGGCATTTGCCTTAAGGACTATAAGCAAGCTGTCTCCAGTGTCTGAAAACCACAAGACATTCCTCTCAGCTTTCTCATTTAAGGCTGCTTGCCTTCATCTCAAGCCTCAGATGCCAGTCGGGCTTATGAAAAAGGAGAAGTCCTGTATTGTGGCTGGGAAGGCCACGGAGGAAAGCATAATATTAACTGCACATTTCGTACGAGGAGAAAATCTAAAGGCAGCTGTTGAGTCCTCTGCTGGCCAACCCAACCTCTCTTGTCTAGACTGATTCTGCAGACGAGGATGTGGCTGCCGTCACCCCTGCTTTCATTTTCACTGCTGGGTCCCTCATGACTTGGTGGTTGTCTTGTAGCTAAAGAATGTCTGGTTGCTAACTTCATTTTTTCCAAACATCTACTGCATGGATCACAGAAAGTGCAGCCCATGTTAACTTATATGCAGCTGAAAGTCTCAAGGCATATCAAGATTCAGGTCTTGCATTTTGTCGCTAAATCTGACCTCAAGAATGTACACTCATTCACTTGTATACTTCGCATCAGGTTTGCATTGTCATTAAAGAAATGCATACAAACCAGTTCTGTTTTAGAAGAATGTTAAGACAGGGATTTAATGAGATAATATATATAAAGCGCTTCGTCAACTTTAAAGTGCTCTGTAAGTGTGAGTTATGATTATTAGGGCCTGAGAAAGGTGCCCTGGTAGAATTCTAATAAACAAGTTCAACCAGACCATATCTCATTGCACATCACTTATCTCACAGGTTCTCCCTTTATTGCGTCTATTGCACAGAGTCCACTGGACTTGAATTCTGAGTCTGTTTAGTGTATCCTTAGTCTGTCGCCTTCTCTCCATAGGGCAACAAAGCAGTTTTCATTCCAAAGAAAACTCCAATTGACATAGTCACAGAAGAATTAGAAGTGAATCCTAAATTCAGAGTTTATGTATACAGCGAGTCTGCAGCAACTCACTTTTGTGTTGGCAGTATTGTTCCCTTTTGGTTCATTCTCTGTATTATAATATTTGTCTTCCACACAGATGTCTCATGGTTGGTTATCCATGGCAAAGCATATGTCAGTGTGAAGCTGAGCTTCTGAGACCTTTTTGTTTTGGCTTTGTTTTGCTGGAGTGACATAAATGGATTTTTCTGATTGCTTCACTATGATAAATAATATTAAAATACTGATGGCTCATGGCCCAGCCACACTGATCTCTGCAGCCAAGTGTGTGCTCCATTTTCTTTTTATTGTTGCTCATTTGTGATTTCCAAAAGGGTTCTGAACCTTGTTTTTAAAATGTGAAATTGATTATTTAGTTTGCCAAAACAAGGTGTGATTTAGCTTCTTTTTTTTTTATAATATTTTTTGGCAGGAGGTGGGAAGGATGGAGTTCTGTTGGTAGATAAATAAATAAAGCTTTTACCATCCCTGTGCAGTATGCTGAAATCATGATTTTTAAAATGATGCTTTAACACACTAAGCAAACCCTGAAAACTCAAAAAAGGCATCTATACCTTTTCCCTGTAGATCACCCAATTTATGCCTCAGGATATGAGATGCATAATTCTTGGCACTCTGAGTACAATCACCTTTCCTTAAACCTAGGTGCTAGTAGAATATCTCTCCCTGTCTCCTTCCTTCTTTCCTCCCTTCCTTCCTTTTTTTCTTTCTTTTTTTGAGGCTAGACCTCCACATTTTGCCCAGGCTTGTAGTACCAGGGCTGCTCACAGGCCTGCTATCATTGTGATTAACAGAGTAGCCTTGACCTGCCCTATTTTCTGACTTGGGCCAATTTGCCCTTCCTTAGGCAGCCTGGTGGTCCCCCATTCCTGAGGGCTCACCATATCGATGTTAGACTTAGTTCGGACACTTAATCAGCTTAAGCCTTATTGAGGCCTTAGCCTCCCCAGAAGCAGGTGGTGTGTGCTGCCCCACCCAGCCTGCTGGAACATTTTCCAAAGACTGTATTTTATTTCCTACTTTACTGAAAGTACTTTCAAACACTGTCCTTACTTCAAATAAGCAGTGGTTTCATATGGTTCTTAAAGTATTAAAATACAAAATGTGTTTATAAGTTAATAAGTTTAGCCCAACTTATGTAATTGGGCTAAAATCTCAGTGAAAGTAGTTTTCCTGGGCTCTTGCCATCTCCTTTACAAACAGCAACAATGAAGAAGGTAGACTGGCTTCAGACTTTATAATGGGTCCCAGTGTCTGATGGCAAAGCAACATCCTTTGCCAAAACTTATCTCCCACCTATATAACCAGTACGTGGCATGCCAGATATGAACCTCCCCACAGTGTAATCCTTCACGTGGGACATATCTGCACACTCTCTGTAGGCTAGCTCACTTGAACCTGCCCTCACATTGACAGGTCAGTATTCCCAAGAAGGAATCACCACTATGCAGTTACAACTCAGATTCTCTCAGGGTGTTGGGGTTAAGCCTGTTTTGATAGGAATATATTCTCCCTACTTACTACGATAAGCTCCTGAGTCTGCACTGCTGTGATTTCTAACTATAGAGAATCAGTCAGTAATAATAATGATGTCATTAAGTCTTAAACATAAAACATTTACTTAGTGATAAGGAAAAAATAATCAAAATATCAATTAACCCATGAACCTAGGTCAACCTCTCCCACCAATGCCCATAATATCTGTGAGGAGAGAGTAGGCACAGACTTACAGAAACTATCATCGAGGCATGTGAGAAAGAACTACATGTGATCTCATCCTCATTCTTGTGCTGAGAACACATTACCCTCTTCTCTCAAATGGACAAAGCAGTGACAAGCTCTTTTTAACTCCCAATCACCCCTAAAAATGTGCTTAGAAAGTGTTAGGTTGTAGTCATGCTAAACAGTTCTCTTATATCAGAGGCCTTCTGCTTGTTTCTTTGGCCAATGTGCACAAGCTCGGGGAGGTCTTTATTCAACTGGATCCTGGTTTGTCCAACCCATTTCTGCCAGCAAAGCAGATGTAAATCTTTTCTTCTGCCTTCTGTTTCCTCTAACAAACAGAAGATGGCAGTGGAGAGCAACCAGCGCTTCTGATGGTTTCACCTATTTCAAGCTATTGTTTTTTCTTTCTCAAAGAGGGCCATGACATCTGGAAGGTGATGCCATGACTTGCAAATGAATTGGATTTAAGTGAGGGAGGGCTGTGCAAAATAGAATGTACTGGAGGGCTAGAAGCAGAATTCAATTCTCTCCCTATGGACTTCAGCCTTTCTTCTGCCAGATATCGCCTCCTAATGGGACAGCCGAAGCTGTTCTGTCAGTTGACTGTCCTGCTATATTCCTAACTAGCTCTTGCTGTCTTCTTGACTCAGTTCCCTCTAGCTGGTTCTTCCACTCTTCTCCCGCCGGCTTCTTCAACACTCTCAGTGACTCAGATCAAAGCTTGCTGGGGCCCAGTGACTTATCTTTCCCTTTTGAGGTAAAACTCAAAAAATATACCTTCTTCTTAATGAAATCAAGAGTCCTTATTTAGGCAAGTAGGTGATGTACACGGATAGAGTGCTGGATTTTGAGTCAGGAAAAACAGTTCAAATCCTGCCTCTGACAGTCACTGTGTGACCCTGGGCAAGTCTCTTAACTTCTTAGTCTTGGTTTCATCTGTCAAAATACTGTAAAATAAGGGCAGCTAGGTGACACAGTGGATAGAGCACTGGCCCTAGAGTCAGGAGGACCTGAGTTCAAATCCAGCCTCAGACAGTTGACACTTACTAATTGTGTGACCCTGGGCAAGTCACTTAACCCCATTGCCTAACCCTAAAAAATACTGTAAAATAACTTAAGAAGTTATTGTGAGGAATAAATGAAATGTCATGTAAAGTACTTCACAAATTTTAAAATGCATTTATATATCACTTGCTTTAAGGTTTTCAAAGCACTTTACAAATATCTCATGTTATCCTCACAATAACCCTGAGAGATAGGTGCTATTATTAATCATCCCATTGTCTCCAAACAGTAATTTGATTTACCACAATGTGAGTTTTAAATTCTCAGCCTCTAAAAATAATTAAGAGGTAACTGAGCTGAGGGACCACGGTACTCCGCAGCCTCAGTCATATTTTTACCCTTATACAGGTCCTGTTCGTTCTCTGGGCATTTATTCTAACTGTCTGCATCTCCTGCTGCCTGTGTTCCCAGAGGGGAGATGGCACAGGGCCAGATGCAATGCAACCTCCTTCTCCCCCTGAGCAGGAGCCCACCTGATCACTAGCCTCAGCTTGAGATGAGAAGAGGAGTGACTTTCCATCTGATCTCTAGCCTTCTGTCTTCCTCTTTGCCTGCCCCCTAAGGGAGGAGGAAAAGATGGGGAGTGGATTTGCATTTCCTACTGCCTGTCTCCTGCCTAATCTATGGCCTTTGGTAGAAAGAGGAGAAATGAAACAGGGCCTCCTATCTGACCACATGCCTTCTATCTTGTGCTGTGTATGTCTCCTACCTGATCTTCAGCCTTCTCTGGGAAAAGGAGTAGTTCCTTCTACTCACTGATTAACATACTCAGACCTGTTCATAACCTAAATATCCCAGTGATTCTGAACTCCTCTATGTCATAATCCAAAACCCATTCCTCATCCCTCAACACCCATTTCCTTATTCCCAAACCCCTCATCCCTCCCACTCCAAAGTCACAATTAATCACTATCTACCCCTTCCACAGTGCCCTCTGGAATGCCTGCTCCACAGAAAACAAATTTGCCTTCATGTGAAATTTTTTCCTCTCTCACTCCTTCCATCTTCTAAAGATCTGTATTCCCCTGATGACACAGCTTGCCTGTCCACCCTTTCCAATACTGGCTGCACTTTCGTTCATTCCCCTCAACTCACTGGTTGAGGGGGGAAAGTTAGAAAACTCCTTGATTTCCATTGCCCCTTCCAGGTTCTCCCCCTATGTCCATGACACAGTAAACTCTTCTTTAAAGTCCATACAATCCCGATCTTCCAATTAAATATTTGGTAGCCGTTGTCTACAGACCTCCAGATCACTCCCCTTCCTTCCTTAATAAGTCTGGTACCTGGTTCAAGGTTTTTTTCTTCTCCCCTACTATTTTTTGGGGGGACTAATTTTTTTTAAATTTTATACTTAATTACAAGATGAGAAAAGAAAAAAAAACATTGCCAGGTACACAGCAGACCATAAGAGAGGATGCAATATAAAACAATGTTTCCACTTCAAGAAAATCTATATAATAAGTACTACAGATTATTTTCAAAGCTGCCCAGCTTTTCTTTGCTTCCTTTTTGGTTTTCTTATGTTCTCTGCTGTGCACTTTTGTTTTGTTTTTAGGCTATTGGGGTTAAGTGACTTGCCCAGGGTCACACAGCTAGTGTCAAGTGTTTGGTGTGAGGCCGGATTTGAACTCAGGTCCTCCTGACTTCAGGGCCGTGCTGTGTCCTTTTTGCTTTATTTTCCCCCTCTACCCACTCTAAAGAAGGCTATAATTAAGCATGGAGACACACACATATACATAGGTGTCTATAAACATATATATGTAGGACAGTACTATGCTTATTTCATCCTATCATCTGTTTCTCTGAAAGTGGGTAGCATCTTTCTTTATAAGTCCAAGTCTTTCCATGTTTCTCCTCAATCAAGCAGTTCATTTCCTACACCCCAGCAATATTCCTTTCTGAATTCAAACAGCATCTTCCTTCATAGGATCTTTGAGATTAATTTGGGTGTTTATAATAGTCACAATGACTTGGTTGCTCAAAGTTGTTCTTTCTTTCCTTTTTTTTTTTTTTGGTGAGGCAATTGGGGTTAAGTGACTTGCCCAGGGTCACATAGTAAGTGTCAAGTGTCTAGTCTGAGACCAGATTTGAACTGAGGTCCTCCTAACTCCAGGCCTGGTGCTCTATCCTCTGTGTCACCTAGCTGCCCCTTCAAAATTGTTCTTAAAACAATACTTCTGTTACTGTATACAATATTCTCTTGGTTTGCTCATTTTGCTCTTCATTATTATGTACATTTTCATATTTTCTACTCCCCAACTCTTGCTTTCATACTAGGGGACTTCAACATACATATTGACACAACTTCAACTGGGTCCTCACTGCTGCTAGGCAGTCCTATACATCTGTTATCAACTCACTCTCAAATTCTCTACAGTGACTTTCCAAACCTTTTCATCCTTCCTTAATCTTCCATAACTTCTCTTCCCCGCCATCTCAGCTGAGAACTTTGCATCAAATTTCCACTATCCTTAATGAAATAAACATGTAGCATACATTTCATTAAAATTAAAGCTCTACTTCTAAAGTCACATCTTTAGAAATAAAAAAGTAAATTTGTATCTTTAGTACGTACCAAGTTTTCTTCCAATACATCTCCTCTTTCCCTTCCCCTCCCAGAGAGCCATTCCATGTAACAAAAAGTATTTATGAAAATTAAAACAGTAAAAAAGAAGAGGA